AAATATGACTGCATTTGAATTTCAAGAGTTGATGTGTTTGTAGAATTTTGAAAAAAATGTGCTGAAATTAATTATTGCTGCATGTCTTATTCCCAGTGAAATGCAGACAGTGCACAATTTGTGCATGGACACAGTGGTTTTAGAATGAGAATGAGATTTTTGGTTTCTCTGGTGAATTTTAGAGGCATGTAGTAACTGGTAGTGTTGTGTTTTATTGCAAACAAACACCTGAAGAGTTTAATTCTAATATTTCTAAGTACTATTGAACAGTTATTTCAAAGACCATCCATTCTGTGATATCTTTATGTGGAGAAGGTTCTTTCTCCTCTGTAGCAAGTGGAACATTAAGGCTTATCTAGATTTGTTTTCTTTAATACTGAGTAATAGAAACCTGAAACAGTGCAGAAGAGAAAGGAATAATTGAAGAACTGTAACAAATGTGACTCTGACATATCTCTTCCTCAGGTTAACCTTTAAGTATATATTATGCCTGTTATGCAAATTTAATTTTTGTTCAGACCACAAAGCTTCTGTTACTTATGTCTGATTTGGGAAGTTTGGATAATGGCTAGCTGTGCAATGAATGTACTACATAAATTATGATGAACTGTTCCTCATCATTCTCCTAATATTTACTCCATGCCAAATCTTGAATCATCCGCACTGGTGTATAGTTTCTTTGTTTCTGAAACATATGTTTACTGTTTCAGATGTATTGCTTGTTAACATCTCAGCTTGGGTTCTGACAAACTGCCAGATAAATTAAGTTTTATAACTTTATGAGACAAAGTTATAGAAACCCTTTCTCTTAGATGTTATTCCAGTTAAAACTGCTACAGTTAAACACTAAAAAAAGAACCAGTCAGAAAAAGTGACTTTATAGGCTGGCACATCTTGGAAGAATGCACTAGCCTTAAAAGGCATGCTATAAACAAATACAAAAAAAGATATTTTAAATTCAATTCATAATACAAACTTGTTGCTTTTATCTTGCTTTCATAATTTTTAGAACCATAGATTTACCTTTTAAGCAATGCCAAACATTTTACCATTTAAATGTGAAAATTTTAAAACATTTAGTGAGAGTTAAAGCATATTATTAAAGATGTTAAAAACATTTCTTCCAGTATGCAGTTACTAACTTTAAACTGTACAAGAGCTAGATTTTTTAAAAAAGTAAAACAAATTCTTTTTATAAAAAATACTGACAAGTAGAGAGCCTCCCCTTTTTTGCTTTTGAGAAATTTTGCATATTTTTGGAATCTGCAGAAAGGCTTAATATTAATTGCCATTTTTCTCTTTAAAAAAGGAGGAATTTTTCCTGGGATTTAATCTTCTCCAGCAAATATTGTCTTTTCACTAAAACAGTATTTGATAAAACGCGTATTTTGCTGGTTTAGTAAATTATGCATTGTAAATTATACTAGGAAAATATCCATTGAAAGCAGTGGTTTCTAATCAGGTTTTTCTACTCCTTCATTACAACAAATGGGTCTTTTCACTTTTGCATGTGTCTCATTAAAAATCCAGGATAGGATGTGAAGCCTTAGCTGGAAGAATGTGACAAAAGTGGTAAAGACTGGAAGATATCTGTAATACAAATAGGTAGTGAATAAGACCAAAGAAAGTAAAGTGCAACACAAGCAAGAAACATGATTGGAAATAGGAAAATTTATATTTTAATGCTTCTAAAATTTAGATTTAACTAATGGAAGTAAGACCAGTTTATTGTAAGACATATTTAATGTAGTTGTGTATGTTTGTTATGTACCGTTAGCTCACATCCAACTTATGACTATCTTAATAAGATTTTCAAGATATGTGAGATATTTAAGGAGTGGTTTTACCAGTACAACCCCCAAACAAGTTTCAATGGCCAAGCAGGAATTTGATCACAGATTTCCCAGTTCCGATTTGCACGGTAGACCATGCAAATCTGAACTGTGAAGGTCAGTTTCTCAGCACCGAACTCAACTATCTGAATTGGGCCCTACAGACAAATAGCTATTCCAAGAATGAAATCACAAGAACCATTGAAAGAAGAAAACAACGCCAAACTGAAGAGGAAAAACAGCCACCCACAAATAAAGTATTTCTGCCATACACCAAAGGGGTCACGGACCTCATGGGGAAACTTCTGAAAAAACACAACCTACAAACAGTATTCAGGCCCATCACAAAAATACAACAAATGTTACGGTCAGCAAAGGACAAAAGGGAC